TGCCCGCGCAACCCTCTGCGGAGATCGTGCGTGTCGAGTGCGCGAAACGCAGGCGAGAGTGCGATTTGGTACACAACTCTAGTACGCAGAGTAGCTGGGGAGCTGGAAGCTGAGAACTGGCGACGTGGTAGTGCGAGAGTAGTACGCGGAGTAGCTGGGGAGCGGGAAGATGAGAACTGGCGAGTGGGTGGTACAACTTGAGGGCGTGGAGTATGTGGGGAGCTGGGAGATGAGCGCTGGCGACTTTGTAGTACAACTGTAGTACGCGGAGAAGCTGGGGAGCTGGAAGCTGAGAACTGGTGACTTTGTAGTACAACTTTAGTACGCGGAGCAATCTGTGGAGCTGGAAGCTGAGAACTGGCGAGTGCGTAGTACAACTTTAGTGCGCGGAGTAGCTGTGGAGCTGGAAGATGAGAAGTGGCGACTTGGTAATACAACTTTAGTACGCAGAGCAGCTGGGGAGTGGGAAGATGAGAACTGATGAGTGGGTAGTAGCTGAGAACTCGCGACTTTGTAGTACAACTTTAGTACGAGGAGTAGCTGGGGAGCTGGAAGATGAGAACTGGCGACTTGGTAGTACAAATTTAGTACGCAGAGCAGCCGGGGAGGGGGAAGATGAGAACTAGCGACTTGGCAGTGCAACTTTAGTACGCAGAGTAGCTTGGGAGTGGGAAGATGAGAACTGGTGAGTGGGCAGTAGCTGCGAAGTGGCGACTTTGCAGCACAACTGTAGTGCGCGGAGTAGCGGGGGAGCTGGAAGATGAGAAGTGGCGAATTGGTAGTACGACTCTAGTACGCAGAGTCGCTGGGGAGTGGGAAGATGAGAACTGGTGAGTGGGTAGTAGCTGAGAACTGGCGACTTTGTAGTACAACTTAAGTAGTGCGCGGAGTAGCGGGGGAGCTGGAAGATGAGAAGTGGCGACTTGGTAGTACAACTTTAGTACGCAGAGTAGCTGGGGACTGGGAAGATGAGAACTGGCGACTCATGGGTAGTACAACTTTAGTACGCAGAGTAGCTGGGGAATGAGAAGATGAGAACTGGCGAGTGCTGCGAACTGGCGACGGTGCAGTATAACTGTAGTGCGCGGAGTAGCTGGGGAGCTGGAAGATGAGAACTGGCGACTTGGTAGTACAACTAACACGTGCCTTTGACAACAGGCAGTGGAAGCCAGCTTGCTGGCTGCCATTGTCCAGATGGAAAGCCAGCACGCTGGCTACCATCATAGTTGAAGTGGGTAAGCCAGCACGCTGGCTGCCATTGTCCAGATGGCAAAGCCAGCACGCTGGCTACCATCATAGTTGAAGTGGGTAAGCCAGCACGCTGGCTGCCATTGTTGAGATGGCTAAGCCAGCACGCTGGCTACCATCATAGTTGAAGTGGGTGAGCCAGCACGCTGGCTGCCATTGTCCAGATGGCAAAGCCAGCACGCTGGCTGCCATCATAGTTGAAGTGGGTATGAGCCAGCACACTGGCTGCCATCATAGTGGAGTGGGAAAGCCAGTGAGCTGGCTCCCATAATCTAGAGGGCAAAGCCAGCACGCTGGCTGCCATATTATCCTAATATAGATGTATATATGTATATATAGATAGGTGGCAAAGCCAGCATAAAGCAGATGTTTATGAAATCCTTTCGCAGGTCTTTGGTGCTGTAGATCTTAGGCACGTTTCGTTTCGTGTTCGTTGTGTGTTTTGAGGTTAGAGTATCGAGTCCGTGGCGCGATGTGCGCGGTGGCTCAAGCAGAGAGACCGCAGCAATTTCCAAGTGAGTTCGCGCAAGTCTCCACAGACTGTAGCCGGGAACGTGCAGCAAGACAAGAGCCGTGAAGAATGTACTTGCAAGAAGTTTCAACACACCCCGCATAAGCTTCTCGTCAAGAGGCGCGCGGACCAGAGCTCATCCATGCAAGATGGCCAAACCAGTCCATAGCAAACAGATACTGGGTTGCCCATGGAGAAACCTCGCAGTTTTGGCGAGTGGTCCAGCGGTCCAGTGGATGGCACGACTGGGTGAGGAACAACAGCCGCAACTTCACAAATGCCTACACCATCCAGATCTGCTTCGGGCGGACGCGCTAGACCCAACCAACCGTGTGTCTCATACCGTGACTTCTTCCTGATAAATTCTGTGTGGACGTCGTTCTGCGGAGCACAACACTATCCTTGCTGTGTACAAAGACTAGTCGCGAGCAGAACAGCGAGAGTGCGCTAAAACATCTACAGTGCCTGCTGTGTGTCACCTCACGCTACTTTGTCGCGTTTTTCTCTGAGACAGTCAATTACTCAATGACAAGCATAGTGGTTGGTTAACTACATCCTAGAAAAGCTGTGTCCTGGAGTGAAGTAAACGTTTTTGCCCGGAATATATATATATATATATATCGATGGATGCCTTTCCTCTGACAGGTCACTGCTTCGAGACGCTTCTGGCGTGGCTGCCT